GGCGTGTGCACTCGCTGTCTGTCCCCTCTGCTCGTCCCCACGCTCCACGTGGCTCAGCCTCGCCTGCAGCAGCTGTCTGGTTCCTCGGTCCCGCCTTCCCCGCCACATCCCCCGTCTCTTCCCCAGCTCTGCTCCCTCTCCTCCTCACCCCACAGCTCGATGGCCCCCGGACACGTCGTCCCCTCACCTCTGTGTGTCTGTCTCCCCCCGCCACAGTGGGAGCTCCCTGAGAGGGGCCGGTTTCTGCCTGGTCACTGCTGTCACCCCGAGGGGCTGAGACAGCGCCAGGCGGGCAGCAGGCGCGCAGAACACGCGTGTCGCGTGGAAGCGGACGATGACGTGGGGGTGCCAGAAGCGACTAGTGCCTGAGACAGTTATGGGGGGCAGTGCCACAGCTGGGATGTAGCAGGGACGAACGCCTGGTTAGGCTGCCGGTCCCAGCCCAGAATCCAAGACCCCGCGCCCAGCCATGCAGCAACCCCAGAGGACAGGCCGGCTCACCACACAGGTATATGTGCCGTCGCCCACATGTCCGGCACACAGAATGTCATCTGTCACCATCCAGGGGTAGGCCTCGGCACACCCATCGCCGGACGGGATTTCAAGGTCCTCCCACTGGAGATCTGCGAGCAAAGCTACGGGCCAGGGAGAAACATGGCTGCGGCCGCCCCAACCTGGCTCCTTAGCGCCTCCTCCCCCAGACCCAGGAGTCCCGGCTCCAGGCTGCATGGTCTGGCCCTGCCGTGCACTTAACTGGGTGGCTCTAGCTCCAGCCAGAGGCACAGCAGGTGCTCCCCAGCTGGGGTTCCTGGGTGGGCAGCCTTAGGCCCTTCACAGCAGCTGCCACCTCGGCCGGCCTCCCCGGGCGGAGCCGTGTGAGAGTCTCTGCGGTCCTCTCCCGAGAGAAAGGATCATCCTCTAGGAGACTCAGGCTGAATTTGGGGTGTGGGAAGGATGTGAGGTCGGAGAATAATTGGGTGGTGTCTTCCCAGTCGAACAGGTTTTGGCGACCCAGCCAGAGCTGGTAAAAGCTGGGGACAGAGAAGGACAAAGGGAACGAGGAGAGGGGTGGGGGAGGGGGCAGGGTGGCGCGGCAGCGGGGTTGGGGGGCAGCTCCCCAAAGAGAAAGAGAAACAGCAAGAAAGACACAGAGAGAGCAGAAAAAAATAGTCACGGAGACGTAAAGACGGTGGGAGAGAAGAGAGGGGTGTACGCGGCGGGGGCAGACAGACGTGGAGCGGAGGACAGAGCTCAGAAGGGGCCTGGGGGACGGCGAGACGCCGAGGAACGGACAGGGCGCGGGGAAGAGGAGAGACAGCGTGCGGAACGGACGGACGGACGGACGGAGTGGGGGCGGTGGGAGGACGCGGAGGGAGAGGGGGAAGGGCAGAGACCAGGGCCGGCAGCGTGGGGGAGGAAGGGGAGGGCGGAGGGGGAGGGGCGCCACCAGCTCAGCTGGAGCTCGGGAC